GAAGATACAAGCGCGTGAGGGAGCTGCTCAAGTTGGAACAGTGGTGTTTTGGCTGTCGAGAGTAAGGAGTCGAGGAAAAAGGGGGTCGACGACAGAGGAAACAGTCGAAGACGCGCACGAAAACGCGAAGAGAGAGTCGACTAGGATCGACTCTTGGTTGGCAGGGCTCTTCAGCGAGCTTTCGTGGAGGAGAAGTCTTTTGTTGATTCGGTATCAAGTGGGAGAGGTTTGATACCGAGCGAGGAGAGAAAAGGGGCTACGGCTTGATAGCTTTTGAGGGCGTCTCAAGGAGCACAGGAGGAGGCGTGAGGGTGTAAAGGTTGTCGAGATGGCCGAGATGGTCGATATGATCGTGGTTATGATGGTAATGAGAGGTGACAAAAGACTTGCTCGGAGAAGAAAAGAAAAAAAGGAGAGAGGAAAAGGGGGGGTGGGAGGTAGAGAGGAGAGATATTTATACCCAGCTTGGTGATCTGGCGAGGACAGTGACTGTTGCGCTAGCAACGCAGGAAACAAAGAAAGAATTTTCACTTCTCTCACTCTGTGTCTGTGGAAGAGCGTGATTAGCGAGAGCAGGACAGGCTGCTAGCGCAGGACATCAGCGAGGACAGGACAGCAAGTGAGATTTGGCAGCAGGACACCCTGATGCCATGGCTACGAGGCTACGACGGTGACATTCCTTGACGTGATACGGTGATCTGATCTAGTTGATCTGACCTAGTTGACTTGATCTAGTTAATTTGATTTGGTTGATCTGATGTAGTTGATCTGATCTGGATGTTGATTTGATATTTGATGGGGCTTTGGTTTGTTGATATCAAACGCCCACAAAGCTGATGACAGAGAAGCGAGACAAAGACGCGCTAGCCAAACAAACAAAGACTTAGTTACCTAGATAATGGCTTTGTAGTGAGGAATGTGAGAAGAACAGCTTTGACAGCATCTAACACTCGTATATTTCTTATAATCTAGGTCAAAGTCTATACATCTGCCATCTTGTCCTTCTGGCAAGATCATAGCCAAGTATCCAACAGTTCTCTGACAATGTATACATTGCAACGTGTAGGGCGTAATAAGAAGCAAAAATAGGTTCTTTTAGAGCAAACAAAAAAAGGGGAGGGAATGGAAGATAAGGAACTATGCATGGCATAAAACATGCTGCCAACTGCACCTGCGCTCGGGCGAGCATCTTGTCATTGAAGATAGATGACTCTATACTGCTAGGAGCCTTTCTGAAATGTCACTGGGCAAACATCAAGGAGAAAGGAGGTGCCACCCAGTATCCAGGCGGAAAAGGGGGATGGAGTGACGTCTGGAGGTTGATTGATATGATCATGTGACTTGAATAATCACGTGATATGGGTAAGGGAGGTCTGGCGGGAAAAGGGGAGGAAAGCAAAGGATGTCGAAGTCATTGTGCCGACGACATAAGAGGCAATCGAAAGTGGTGATTAGATGTCTAGAATCAGTAGTGGAGAGCCTCCTTGATGGCGTCGTAGATTCCTACAGAAATCAAAAGTTAGCATGATATGGAAGGTATAGTTAATGATGTAGCTAAAGCAACATTGCTACTATAGAGAAGCTTACTAGTAACGTCTGGCATGTTGAAACGCTCGTAGATAAGTCCTGTGTGGATATCCCAGCCGGTGACACGCTTGACAGGAGCCTCGAGGCTCAAGAAAGCGCCTTCCTGGATACTGGCAGCTACCTCGGCACCGACACCTCCGTTCATCATGGACTCGTGCACGACGATGGCACGACCGGTCTTGCGCACACTGTTGAGCACTGTCTCACGGTCCCAGGGGTAGATGCAACGGAGGTCGATGAGCTCAACGGTTGCACCCTTGAAGTCCTTTTCAGCCGCAGCAATGGCTTGGCTGCAGAGATAAAGTGGCTGGCCGTAAGAGATGACAGTCACATCAGCTCCCTGCTTGATAACGTCCGCCTTGTCAATAGGCAAAGTATACGACTCAGTTGGGACATGCTCGACTGCAGCACGGTACAGAATCTTGGGCTCCATGAAGATGACCGGGTCGTTGCAATGCAGGATAGCATTGAGCAGGAGACCCTTGGCCTGCGTGGGGGAACGAGGAATCACAACACGCATGCCGGGAACATGGGTAAAGAGGGCCTCGGGGGACTGCGAGTGGTACAGAGCGCCGTGGCCAACACCACCGCACGGCATTCGGATGACGAGCCCGCCAACATGGCCGCCGGTGCTGCCCTCACGGTACCTGAATTTGGCCGCCTCGTTGACGATCTGGTCAAAGGCCGGGAAGACATAATCCGCAAACTGAATCTCGGCTACAGGCTTGAGCCCTTCAGCAGCGGCTCCAATGCCAAATCCGACAATTCCTTGCTCTGTCAGCGGTGTGTTGAAGACTCGCTCGGAGCCGAACTCGGTCTGCAGGTCGACAGAGCAGCGGAAGACACCACCAAAGGCAACATCTTCGCCGAACAGCAGCACTCGCTCGTCAGCAGCTAGGGCAGTCCGCAGAGCCGAGTTGATGGACTGGTACAGGTTCAGGCGCTTGGTGGGAGCGTTGGCCGGCAGCTCTTTGTTCGAGGCGAGAGAAGAGGGAGCGTGGTGCAGCAGCGGCGTGGCTGCGTAGTTGACGGGCACATTCATCGTCGCCCCGGGGGCGTGGGACGAGTATAGACGGGCATTGCCTGGCTGTGCTCTTGACAGGAGCCGTCTCACGGCTGTTCGGGACGCCATGCCGAATCTATATCTGGTCTCTGCTTAGACGGCGTATCTGTCGACTGTCCGTCCGTCCGTCCGTGCTGCGTCTGTGGCGGGCGTCTGCCTGGGTATAGCTCAATTGGCGGCCAGCAGTGAGGTCGGCGTCTGCAGCGGCAAGCTCGAGGTGTTGTTGTTGTTGTCGTTGCTGGTGGAAGTCGTGGAAGTTGAAATGTCGAGAAGTCGCTTTTTTGCCCGTTTCGGCTGCGGCGCTGGGAAAGGCGGGACTCGCAGACCGACGTTAGCCGGCATCACGTGGCCGACGCGATCACCTGATCAAGCCACGGAAGAATATTTATCCATTTGATTATGTAATATAATTATGTAATCCAGAAAGCCTCCGGGCTGGCTCTGACTTCGACTTCGACTTCGACGTCGACTTCAACGACGTCAAAAGCTACTTCAGCTTCGGATTGACAGGCTGATAACCTACGATTGAATAGAATAAAGCTGGCAGGATACTGATTTTATCAATCTACAGACGACAAAGTGTGTAGGATACATATAAGAGAAGATGTCATGACTGAGCGGACTGCTCCCTCATGTAGGCATCGACTGAGCGCTTGATGGCCTCCTGCATGCCCACCAGCGGACGATAGCCCAGCCTGGACTTGATCTTCGAAATGTCGAATGTTCGCGTCATGGACAGGTAGCGAACCATCTTGCGGTTGAGCCTCGACTCTCTCCTGCCCAGGCTGATGGCCCAGACAGTCCACTCAACCGCGACGACAACGGCAAAGAAGAGGGCTGCTGGGACCTGCCAGATCTCCTCTCGTTTGGTCGGATAGCCAGCGGCATCGCCCACAGCATAAACAAACTCCCAGAATGATATATGCTCGTCGTTGGTCACCACAAAGACCTCCCCGTCAACCCGCTTGTCGGCCGGTGGTGGTGGCGCAGCCGGATCAATCTCGACCAGCGCCTTGGCGGCTAGAATATGGGCGTAGGCACAGTTGCCTAGATACGTAAAATCAAACAGGTTCTTCCCGTCACCAACTCTGACCTTGTTGCGTCCGGTCTTTGCGTTATTGACCATGTGAGGAATTGTCAGAGTGTCCCCTTCGCCGAAAAGAGTTGTGCCTCGCAGGATTACCGTCAGCAAACCATTTGTCCTGTTCGCTGCAACTATCATCTCCTCTGCCAGTGCTTTGGTGTGCGAGTAGAACTCTGGCTGTTCTGGATAAAAGACTCTGGGTAGGTCTTCGGTGGCCTCTATGATGTCGGAAAAGCCATTGTGGATAACGGAGGAGCTGGATGTGTAGACCAAAGCTCTAACGGACTGCACCTCCTGGATGGCATCTAGTAGATACCGGTTGCCCTCGACGTTTATCTTCTCGTAGAGACGCTGGGTATTCTTCTGCTGCATAAGCAGAGGCGAGGCTGAGTGGAAGATGGTACGAGGCTTGACCTGTTGCAAGGCTCTCTGGATGTCTTCCTTGCTGCCTATGCTTCCCTTGATGTACTTGGCCCCCTCCACGATGTTTCTCTTCGTCTCAATGTCAAACACTGTCACGTCTGATGCGTCTCCTTTTTCCAGCAGTTGTTTAACGATGGTATGGCCCAACCCGCCACATCCTCCTATCACCAGAACTGGATCCATCATAATGACTCAATAGCTTTTGTTGATGGTACTTACGACCCTAAGTAATGTGACGATGTTTTCATCAAGACTATTGACCAACAACAGGCGGGCGGGCTCTGTATTTATAGTTGGCGAACAAACGGACAAAGAACCTGAGATCCCTGCTCCAATTAACCACAACGTACGAACCATGCCGTGGAATATTATTACTGCAAAGGATTGATCTACCCTGGGGTTCCGGGACTTGGTTCGCATTAAAATCATCATACGGTAACTAGGAGAGTCGTTACTCAGGGGTTGCCGGCTTTCTCCTGCCGGCGTCCCTTGTTAATTTATTTACAAGTCTATACATCATAGCCAGCGTATCGTCTACTAGGCCTCAAAATGAGCTTCCTTGCGTTGCTAAACCTTTCGTCTTCCTCTGCCGGAAGAAAGCAGGGAAGAAAATAACGCAGCTGCAGATTATCGCCAACTTCATCTCAACAGCGCTACAGGCCAGTCAGTAGCTATTATGCATAATGCATCAACCAAATTAAAATGGATGGAAACAAACCTGTACGGCGATAAAGAGGCACCCGTGTATATCGCATCTTTCTTGTTGAACTTGGCTATAATAATAACCAGTCGGACTATACTCATCGAACATGCACTAGAAATGCGATCAGCACAGTCACCATTCTAACCATTAGTTATCAATGAACGCGGTAGTTCGTACATGAACCCAGTAAGGAAGAGGGTCAGGACTCCTATCTTCCTCTTATTCGGCATTTTCAAGCCCTGGATCTGGCTGATAGGAATTGCAAGAATATAGAAATCACTAAGGACATTCCACAGCCCAAAGACGAGGTTTGTCGTGCTCACTACCTTGTTGCTGCATATCATAATACCCAGGGCCTTGATACCGTTGCATCTTGACACGCGGATGCTAGATATTGTCAAATATGGGATGGTTACAATCGATATAACCACTATGCCGATGTAAATCAACAGGCGAAGTTGCCTTATGACATGGAAAAGCTGGTTGAGCAGCAGAAGGATTGATATCTTGATGAAGAAGCTTGTCAAGATATAGATAATGTCGACAGCTGCATATTGCTAGTCCTGTTAGTATGCAGCAGCCCTCCGTGTCCATAGTTAGTGAGAGTGGCTCACTTTGGTCCTCGACTCTGTGAGACTCAATGCTGGGATATCCCACATATGCCTCCCATAGTTGATAGTGGTATCTAATGCACAGGTAAGCCTCTACGCCACATTCATGGAGAAACAAGGGGATGTACTGTGAATGGTCAAGGCTGAGTGGGCTATTGAACCCATCTACATCACGATGATTAGTATTGCAAGGCTGGCTACGTGCATCAGTCACTATGAATTTTATGTATACGAACCGTCGCAAGCACACAAAACACTTATCCAAAACGTCAGCAAAATACAAACCATGAGGATAATTCAATTCTTGGGGTCAAAATGATGCTCACCATCAGACAAGTCCCAGCGCTGCTGAGAATAACGGCTCTTTGCAATGAACCTGGCCGTCACTGCGACCATCATCAGAGCTAACGAGATCGCATTCATAATGACTATCGGCATAGCCAGGCTTGGAGGATTCACGAAATTGGACTTCACGCCCGGTGGCGGGGGGCCGGCCGGCAGCATCCACAGGGCACTGAGATCGCGCGATTCCATGGCGACGAGGATGGCAGATTCAGGGCATCGCTTCTTGCGAGGGTCATCAAAAGGGGACGGCGTAGCATCTTCGGTAGCCCTTCGCCAG